AGGGGAGGGGCTGCACAAAATCCTACCCTAACAATCAAGATGAGGAACCCCAGTCCTGCTCAGGGGGGGCCCCCGAGAAACGGAGCCCTCTGTGTGGCCCCTGCCTGCCCCCATGCTCCCACAGGCTCTTATCTGGGCTGAAACCTGGGCCCCCGCGATTAGCCCCCTCCCGGACCTTGCCCCACCCTCCTCTGTGCCTGAGTTTCCGGTTCTTCCAAATGGGGTCATTCAGAATCTCCACTACCTAGAGGTGTGAGGGTTGAACCTTGCCTTGGGCAAACGGCCAGGAACCCAGGCACTTCAGCCTGTGGGATGATGAAAGTATTACTAAAAGGAGGATCTTGTGTTTTCCTCCCAGGTGAGTTGTCAGGTCCTCCGGGGGCGGCGGCCGTCGGGGGCAGGAGGAGTTCCCACTCGCCGCCCCGGCCCCAGGACGCACGGCCCCACCCACTCGTTTGACCCACCGAGAGAGCCGTCCGCGCGTCCCCCGGCCGGGCCCCGGCCCCGCCCCCGGCCCCGCCCCGCTCTCATTTCTGGTCCCTGTGGCGTCTGGCTTCGTCGGGTCTCTAATCCCCATTTTACAGACGGGAAAACCGTGGTGCGGCTCGGGGGCCGGCGGCCAGGTCGCTCGCGCCTGGTCCCCGGGTCTAAGGGACAGAGGTGCAACGCGGAGCCCGGCAGGTCCCTCCGAGGCGCTCGGTAAGATGGGGAGGCGGGCCCCGTTCCCCGACCCGGCCCGGCTCGCCCCCGCCTGCTCCTCCTGCCGCCCCCTCGGGCGCTCCCGGCCCCGCCCGCGTCCCCAGCGCGCCGTGCGCTCAGGGCCCAGGCGCACACTTTGCCCACCGTCCCTAGCGGGGGCGGGGCCTCGGCGGCGGTGTTCCCCTCACTTTTATTATGTATTCTCTTTTAAAGGGCCCGCGCCTCGAAAATTTCCATCCGCCCTCCCTTCCCTCCCGAGACCCCTGGGCTGGTCTTGAGGGTTCGCACCCAGCGCGGGGGGTGGGGGTAGGGGTCCGGGAAGGGGGAGGGGGCCTCGCGAGACCCCTCCCCGCGCCCCAGGCCGCGGCGCTGAATCACCCGCGAGGTATTTGCATCTGAGAGCGATTTGTCACCCGGTGATTTGTCTTCCCGGCGGTGAGCGCGCCGGCGGGGGGGAGGGGAGGGGCGGGGAGGCGCGCGCGGGGTGACTTTTACCAATCCGGTCGGACGGGGGTGTAGACGCGGACCGGGCCCGCGGCTAGGTGAGTCCGCGCGCGGCACCCACCCGGCGGCGGCGGCCGAGAGCCAGCAGCGCGCAGCTCGCAGCTCGCGGCCCGGGCGGGAGGCCAGGCGCTGCCGGGCTGGGCCGGACGCCAGGCGCGGGGCATGCGCCCCGGGAGCGGGCCTGGCGCGGTGAGGCTGGGGCGCGGGGTGATGGCCTTTTAAACCGCGGGTTCCGGTCCGGGGTGAGAGGGGGCTCCCCGAAGTGGGCAGGGATGTGGATGGGGGTCCGGCGCCGGGAAGGCGACCCTAGCGGCCGGAGTTGGGGTGGTTTTCTCCGCTCCCTCTGGTTGACCTCATCCCCTACCATGTTGCACAGGGGCGTGCTGGCGCCCGGGGCGGACCGGGGGTCGCCAGGGCGCTCCCCCTTCAGCGGAAGGAAATGGTCTCCGGGCGCGCGCGGGGGGCTGCGCTCCGGGTTCGGTTCATTTCTCTCCCCCCGGGGTCGGGGGTTTTATCCGGGAGCCCCGAGAGCAGAGGGAGCGCCGGCTGGGAGGGCAGCCCCCGGTGACCCTCCCTCCCCTGCCTGGACGGTTTATGTATAAAGTGTCGGTCTCCGGGCCGAAAGCGGCCCCCGGAGGGGACTCCGCGGTGCCGGCGGCGCCGGGGGCGGGTGCGACCCGGGCCCCGGCTCCCCGGTTCCCGGGCTCCGCGGCGGGGATCCCCGGGGAAAGCCCCCTCCCCCGGCCGGCGCCCCCCGACACAAAGCGGGCGCAGGAAGCGCGAGCAGCGCGCGTTTGTCAATCCCAACGTTCCGCGCCCGACCCCGGCGGCGGCGCGTTTGTCAATAATCTTCCGTTTTTCACTCGCCCGGGCCCAGGCGAGGGCTGCCCCCCCTCCCCCCGACCCATGCAAATCCGCCGCTTTCCAAGAAGCGTTTGAAACCGGACTGGGGTTTTTGTCGTCTTATTTCTTCTTCTTCGGTGTTTCCTTCCCCACTTCCTCCGGGCCGCCCCCTCCCCACGCCGCCAGCCCCCTGCCCGGCCCCCGCGCCCTCCCCCGCCCTCTCCGCGGAGTGCAGGGGCCCCTTTCGCCACCCGCGGGCCCCGGCCTTGCACAACTCTTTAAATAACCGTGTTTTGCAAGCCCCGGCCGGAGCGGGTGACCTCTCTCTCCCAGAGGCATGGGGGGGGGGAGGGCGTGGCCCGGTTTCTCCTGGCCCCCCACCCCCAGCCGGTTCCTAGGTTCCACTCCGCACCCCCCCATCCCTGCCGGGTCCCTGCCGGGGAATGCCTTTCCCATGGGGCTGTCATAAAGTGGGGGTAGGGGCGGAGGACAAAGGGCTCCTGGGGGAGGGGTCTGCAGGGGCTGGGCGCTGCCAGCTTAGGGTTAATGGCAGCCTTGAGAGGACCCGGGCCTGGCCCAGAGGGGCTCCGGGGTTCCCACCTGCCCCCCTCTAGCCCTGGTGTGGAGGCCTGCCCTGCTCCCCTCCCCCACCGGGGGTGACCCGGAAGGGTCATTAAACCCAGCAGGCCAGGCGGGGGCAGCGTGGGGGGAGTGGCTTCCTCTGGCCTCTTCCTTAGGCCCCCCCCAAGAGGTGGGGGGCACTGCCTGGAGCGTTTCCTTGGGTGGGGGCTTGTCTTGAAGTTGTCAAAAGTGGGGGAGGGGCAGCGGGGCCTAGACACTGGGTGAGAAATGTCCCCTCAGCACTTTGGGAGCTGGTGGTGGGGGATGGCTGCCAGTGGGGGAGGGGGCTGCTGGGTGCTGCTTTGCTGTGCTGGCCACTCGCCAGCACTGTGGTCTCTGAGCGGGTATTTGTGCCCAAGGACCCCTGCCCCTGCTGGATACGGAGGCCTTTTGGGAGGGGGGTGTCCCTTCCCACTTTTTACAGGGGCCATTCACCTGCCCCCACCATTGCCCTTTTACCCAGGAGGCCCCAGGGGATCTGAGTAATGAGTGGCTAGCTGGTCTAGGTCAGTGGTCGGCAAACTCATTAGTCAGCAGAGCCAAATATCAACAGGACAACGCCTGACATTTCTTTGGACAGCCACATTTTTTAAACTTAAACTTCTTCTAACGCCACTTCTTCAAAACAGACTCACCCAGACCGTGGTATTTTGTGGAAGAGCCACACTCAAGGGGCCAAAGAGCCGCATGTGGCTTGTGAGCTGCAGTTTGCCAATCACGGGTGTAGGAGGAGGTGGAGGGGCACTGGGCTGGCTGTGGCTCTGCAGGGCCTCTTCCATGACCGGAGAGTTTGGGAAGGGGCTACACTGCAGGTCTAGGTGGTGTCAGGTTCCTGTTAGCAGGTCACATAGTGGGAACAGGGCATCAGCTGAAGCAGAGTCTCTGCCTGTGCCCACTGGCCTCCCCTGTGTGAGATCCTCTGCCCCCTGAGTGGAGGTTCATTTGCTGGGTTAGGGGCCGCCTCCTGGGGCCTCCTGCCCTCCACACTGTCCCTGTGCTGTAGCATCTGGGGTGTGACCGCCAGGCCTGACGAGTTCTGTCCGTTTTATTGGCCCCTTGGGTAGGTGGGGGTGTAGCCTGAGTGGGTGGGGGGCTGGGGTGAGAGATCTCATCCTCCTGTCCTGGTGGAACCAGGTTGTGCCAGGTTCTGGGACATCCCTCTCCGGAGTCTGCCATAGGCCCTGGCAGTTAGGGTTGGTGGTGATCTGAAGGGACCCCAGGCCAGGGACAGCACATTGCATTCTGGGATGTTGACCCCCCGCTTGGGGTCCCAAAGTGCAGGGAAGACCCCTGCAGAGAGGCATGGGAGTGGTGTGGGAGGCTCTTATGACACCCAGACACGTGTTAGCAGGGCACCTCCGAGCCTCAGTTTCCCTGCACCCATAAAACTGGGACCACCTAGCCCCTCCTTCCCTGACACTGACATGATGCGGTGCCTCTTTTGTACCCAAATTCACCATCATAAACTCACTGCATCTCTGCCTGAGCACCGTGAGGTGGATGCAGTGAGGGCACCATTCTGCATATGGGGAAACTGAGGTCCAGGGAGACTGAGGCTTAGGGCTGAGAGCATGCCTGGGGAAGGTTTAGCTCAGGATCCATATACAGCAAGCACTCAGCCTGGGCCAGCCATTGTCCGTTAGCCTGAGGGTGAGGAGGGTACCTGGAGTCCCCTGGGCCAGGCAGCACTAGCACCTAGAACCTGGAATCAGAACCCAGAACTCACTTGGACTCTGGTGCCCAGCAGGCAGCTGCAGCCAATCAGAGGCCAGGAATGCCGTGTCCTCTGTTTATGAAGCAATAATCCACACGGGTCCCTGGGAGGTGCGGTTGGCGGCTGCATATTTCTCTGTGGGGCTGAGATCCTCAGGAGTCCAGTGCGGGGGAACAGTGCTTCCTGGGGTGGACAGAGGAAGGGTAGATGGGGAGTGTGCTTCTCCACTTCTAAGGAGCCCTCCAGGTTTGCTCCCTGATGGGAGTGGATGGGAGGGATTTTCCCAGAGGCCTTTGCAGTCCAGTCTCAGTGGGGAGGATGAGGCTGAGGACCGCAGTGTGGTGTGACAGTCTCTCTCGCCGCCTTCAGGTTTCTGCAAACACGTGAATGAACTGGATGCCGGTCGCTGCTCCTTCGTGCCCGGAGTGAGAAGGAGGCGCTGCCTGTTGGCATGCCCCACCAGCCCTCAGTCTGAGCCAAGTGGCCCCCACCCTCCGCCACCCTGCACTGCCCCGGCTCCCCCGCGGCCCCCACACTGCAGTGCGGCCGGGCCCCGTCCCCAAAGGGGCCGCCCCTGCCACCCACCCCTGGCGCCCGGGGCGGCCCAGCCCGCAGGGCCATGAAGCTGCAGGCCGTGATGGAGACGCTCCTGCAGCGGCAGCAGCGGGCGCGCCAGGAGCTGGAGGCCCGGCAGCCACTGCTGCCCGAGCCCCCCGCCGGCCCCCCGGCCCTCTCCAAGGCTGCCTCGGACGAGGACAGGGACCCCGAGAACTCCCGGATGCAGCAGGCGCAGATGGCCGCCCTGGCCGCCATGCGGGCTGCTGCCGCCGGCCTCGGACCCGCACCGAGTCCCAGTGGCTCCGAGGACAGGCCCCCCACCTCCGAGGATGAGGACGCCGCCCAGGAGGGGCCGCCCGGCTCCCCCGGTCGAGGCAGGGAAGCGCCAGATCATGCCGGAGGCGACAGGCACTTCGAGGACGTGGGCTCTGATGATGACCTGTGAGTGCGGGTTAGAGGGCATGGGGCACTGAGTGGTGTCTGGGTCTTGGTGGCAGAGTGGTAAGGGCAGGACAAAACTCCCTGAGGAAGTGCCGCCCTTTAGAATTTTCTGGAGACAATGGACGTGTTCTCCCTATGCACTGTCTAGTCCTAAGTGGCACTGAATGTGGGATGTGGCCAGTGTCGTAGATGTGGTTGAGGATTAGTGTTTGTAGCTTTTTGCATCCTGATTTAAGCAGAGCCAGCCACACCCGCCCAGGGCCCATCACCCAGCGCCGCTCCAACAGATCCAGGGGCAGGTAGAGGGGTGGACTGGGTAGGACCTGCACAGGGTGGCCATTAGTTGGCTCATTGGGGTCTGTGTTTCACAGGAGTCCAGTGTGGACCCTGAACTGGGTGCTGGTGGGACCCTAGTGGGATCTTTCTGGAAAGACTTAAAACTTTTTAAAAAATTGATTTAAGAGAAAGAGGAAGGCGGAGAGAGAGAAACATCGATCAATCAGTTGTCTCCTATATGCACCCCAACTGGGGATTGAATCCAAAACTTGGGTATGTACCCTGACTGGAAATCAAACCCACCACCTTTTGGTGTTTGGGACGTTGCTCGAATCAACTGAGCCACATCAGTCTGGGCACTGGGAAAACATTTATTTTTTGGTTAATCCTCACCTGAGGATATTTTCCCATTGATTTTTAGGGAGAGTGGGAGAGAGAGGGAAAGACCGAGACATTGATGTGAGAGATATTAGTTGGTTGCCTCCTGCACAAGCCCTGATCAGGGCCTGGCCCAGGGAGGAGCCTGCAACCAAAGTATGTGCCCTTGACCGGAATTGAACCCAGGACTGATGCTCTAGCCACTGAGCCAAACCAGCTAGGGCAGGAAGACTTGAAAAAGCAAAGAAGTGGGGCAATTGCAGGTTGTGATTGGGGCTGTCAAGAAAACGAAGCAGCCAAAACTGGTTTGGCTCAGTGGTAGAGCGTCGATCTGCGGACTGAAAGGTCCCAGGTTCGATTCCGGTCAAGGGCATGTACATTGGTTGCGGGCACATCCCCAGTAGGGGGTGTTCAAGAGGCAGCTGGTCGATGTTTCTCATTGACGTTTCTATCTCTCTCCCTTCCTCTCTGTAAAAAATCAATAAAATATATTAAAAAGAAAAACAGAAACGAAGCAGAGGTGGTAGGGAGCGGGTGTTGGGCCAGCAATAACTCTCCTGAGTGATGGGCAAAGTAGTACCAGTCCCCAGGAAGGGCCAGGAAGCCTGGAACAGCATGCCTCGCAGAGGGCACAACCTGAGCAAAGGCCCTAAGGAAGGAGCCGGTGTAACGTTTTCAAGGCTCAGCAAGGCAGCTGGTGCGGCAGGGGGAGGCGAGGGGGAGCCAGTTGGCACCGGACAGGGGCTGGGGTCTATGTCACAGGGATAGTTACAGTTCGGTCCGGGCTAACTGCGACCAAGAGGTGTCTGGCCCGCGGGGCTGGTGAGGCCCACCCTCCCCGTGTGGAGAGAGGAAACACAGTCTAGGATGAGGAGCCGGCTCTGCCCTGGGACAGGGGCCAGCTGGTGCCTTCTCCCCTGACCTCCGACTTCTGCCTGCCCCAGGAAGCAAAAATGGGAAGAGGAGGAAGAGGAGGAAGAGCTGGAGGAAGACTTGGGGGATGAGGACGAGGAGGACGAGGAGGAAGACTATGAGGATGAGGAGGGGCTCGGGCCCCCGGGCTCGGCTGGCTTGGGCCCCGCAGCCCTGTTTGCCCACAAGACCCAGCTGCCCCAGGCCTTCCGCGGTGGCGACGGCGGGCCCCGGGTGATGGGCAGCCAGGAGCGCCCAGGGGCCGGGCCAGCCCACCCCGGAGGGTCCGCCCACGTGGTACCCCAGCTGCAGCCTCCTGACCACGGGGACTGGACGTACGAGGAGCAGTTCAAGCAGGTAGGTCCTGTGACGTGTGCCGTGATGGGGACAGCGGGGGCCCCCCTGGCTGTTACTTGGGTTCTTCCAGCTGGCCCGATGCTGGCTTTTACCTCCTGCCCTCAAGTGCCAGCTGGATGCGAGGGGTCCCATGGGTGGGCTGGCTGTTAAATGCATTAACACGGGGGACGCAAGCCAGGAGGGAGAAGCGTGGGGCTTTTGACGTCGGCTCCAGAAGGACAAGCAGGGAAACAGAGCGAGGAGACCGGTTCAGCGTGGAGGGGATGGTCCAGGCAAAGATTGTGCAGTGACCTCGCTGGGCACGGTTTGTGGGTGTGGCCCGGGGACGTGGGGCTGGAGGCCTTGTCGGTCTGGCCTCTTGAGTGGAGTTCAGTCTATCGAGGCCCAGGCAGTTGGCTGCGCAGGAGGTGGCCACGTTGTGTGGTTGGTGTGGACGGCCAAGCGCCCTGGGGCTCTGGAGGGGCGGGGAGGAAGCAGGCCATTCTGGTGCCTTCCCAAGGGCGGCCAGGGCAGAGGAAGTGGCCGGGCGGGGCATCCTTTGAAGTTGGGCCGAGCTGGGCTGGGCAGATGGAAACCAGATGGCGGCCTCAGCGGCCAGTGGGGCTTGCATTCCATCCTCAGCCAGCTGGGCCCTGCCCCGACCTCCAGGAGTGGCTGGAGGGGACCTGGCCTCCCTGGCCCAGAGCCCAGCCTCGCTGGGGCTCCACAGGGCTGTGAGCATGACGGCACCCGAGAGTGGCCTCCCGGTAGCTCCCTTCCAGATGCCGGCTCCCGGATTGGCTGGGAGACCCTCCCGGAGGGAGGGGAAGCCTGGCTACACCCTGTGCTGGTCTCTGGGGACTCGGAGCCAGTAGCTCCTCTCCCTGCTTCCCTTGGAGAAAAGGATGCTGGGACTCGGGAGCCCTCAGAGACTGGTGTTCAGGCCATCGGAAAACTCACAGATGAAGTAAAGACCTGGAAATTGGGCCCATGGGGGCAGTGTTGGGAGGGACAGGGATGGAGGAGGTGGGAAGGCCGGAGGGTTGGTACTGCAGGGGTGCCCAGGGCAGCTTCAGGGATGGGAGGGAGAGTTAAACACCCGCTGGATGTGAACACCAGCCTGAACCTGCATGTAGGCCTGATGGCCCCACCCTGCTCCCTGCCTCCGTTTCCCTCCCTTCGGGAAGAAAACTCCTGCTAGGCGGCCGCTCACCCCATTCGTAGATGAGAAAACAGACGCGGTGCGGGAAGCGAGCTCTGCAGACTCCGGGCCCCGGCGTCCTCTGGGTTCCACATGACACAGACGGACATGATGTAGGCGAGTCCTGTTTACTTATCCGCCAAATATTTGCTGTCTGTGCTGAACACAGCCCTCAGGCTGGGAGTTGCAGCTGGACAGAAGCCCCGCTGCCTCTCAGCGTCACAGCAGGTGGGAGGGACAAGGTTGTGCGGCCCTCGGGGCATCAGAGGTTGCCAGAACCCCTGCTCCCCCGGCGCCAACTCTGGGGAGCAGGGGGGTGCTGGTGTCAGGCCAGGTGGGGACAGGGGCTAGAAGCCCTGACCCCAAAGACCTTTTCGCATGTGAGGAACAAAGAGCCTCCGGAGCCATTGTCCCGCTTGTCGGGGACGGGACGGTGATGTCTGGGGATACCCAGGGTCAGGTCACAGCTTCTGAGGCCGGACGGTCAGGGAGCTTCAGTGTTACAGAGTCACTCTCGTGGTCTCTTTCTGTTGTGGGAGGAGAAGGTCAGCACACAAGCAAATGGGTGACAACATGGGATGTGGTCGGCATTTTTACAAAGGGAGCAGCGAGCCTCTGAGGATGTAGCCTTTGGGCTGAGCCTTGTGGGAGAAGGAGCCAGGCACACACAGAGAGGAGTGGTGCGCCCGCGGAGGAAACAGCCGTGCAAAGGCCCTGCGGCGGGGCCCCGCCTGGCTTGTGCAGAAGGGCCAGCATCACTGGTCAGGGTCCCGGAGGCGCTGGGCCTGTACTGGTTTTCTGAGATGAGGTCGGCTGAGGGAGGTTTGGGGCCACCAGTGTCTGTCCTGTGGTGCTGGGAGCTTATTTTTGCCCATTTATGGCCGGTCCTGCTGCTGGGGCTGCCTGTCCAGCCAGCTAGCCAGCACCTGTGCAGCCAGTGTCAATAGTGGCTGGGGCCCAGCCAGCTTGGCAGATGTTGGGGGCCGTGTTGACTCTGCCGCTGCCCCACCCCCTTCCTGGCACGTGGCAGCCAGCCGGCCGGCCGTCCATTTGGCACCATCTCTGCCTCTTCCTCCCTGATCTTGGCAGGGCCTGATTTCTGCCCTAAAACCCTCAGCAGCCGTGACATTTCACTGTCGGCTGTAGGTCTGGGGGCAGCCAGGTTGGGGAGTGGCTCGTGACCACAAAAATCTTTCTTAGAAAACCTGGAACCTCCCGTTTGGCCCCCCCGCCGCCCCCACACGTACTGACGAAGCGCACCCGGAGCTGCTGGCGGGGGTGAGGGCGTGTAACAGGCAGTGATTAGGATCTCAGCCTCCTGGCATCGATGTGGCATCTGGTGACATCCTGGTGGCTTCCTGTCACCAACACTGCCATGCCCAGGCTTTAGAAAGTGCCTTTGTGGGATTTTCAATCGTCAGACTCTCACACATCTTCAGCCACTGAAGGCTTTGAATCCTTTGTCTTAAGAACTCAAATATACGTTGGGCTTTTTGAACAGCTTTATTGATAGAAAAGTTGCATAGTACACAATTCACCCTTTTAACGTGTGTGGTCACTGGTTTTTAGTGTATTCACAGGGTTGTGCACCCATCCCCACAATCAATCGTTGGACATTTCGTCACCTAAAAAGGAGTTGCCATCCCCTTTAGGAGTTCCCCCCATCCCCTGCCCCGGCCCTTAACCATTTTCTGTGGATGTGCCTGTCCTGGGCATTTCACATCGATGGGACCACACGCTGTGCAAAGGTGTCTGTCTTTTGCGTCTGTCTTCTCTCACTGAGCACCCTGTGTTCAAGGCCCACCCAGTCCACACTGTAGTGAGTGTCAGTGCTTCCCCCCTTTTCGCGGCCAAGGAATATTCCAGCGCGCAGATGGAGCCCACGTTCTTGTTCGTTTCTCCGTGGACAGGTCCTTGGGTGGCTTCTGCCGCTCGGCAGCTGTGAATCGTGCGTCTGTGAACATGCACGTGCAGGTTTTTGTGTGAACACAGGTTTTCACTTCTCTTGGGTGTGCACCCAGGAGTGGGCTCTCTGGTTCCCATGGTAACTGTGTGTGTGACATGTTGAGGAGCTGCGGAGCGCGGGCCACGGCACTGCCCCGTTTTGCATCCCACCTGCCGTGCATGCGGCTCCAGTTTCTCCCAGTTCTCACCAACCCCTGCAATGACTGGGTCCCACCGTGTGGGTGGGGGTCTCGTGGTATCTCCACGGTGGTTTTGACTTGGATTAAACGATGGGCTATTTCCACCCCCCTGCTTTCCAAGGTGATGTCTGCTCACCACATAACTTGTAAAGGAGATCCCGGATGTAGAGATGACCATTTTGCCTCACATATGTCCCTTAACTGTGCCACGGGCGGCAGAGTGCACGGCTCACCTATGTCTCATGTGTATCCTCTTGAGGCCACTGGGAATTGCCATTGCCCCTGTGGTGCAAATGGGGAAACCGAGGCCCTTGCCCTGGGGGAGGTGTCAGAGCTGGGACTGGATTCCAGGGTAAACTGGCCCAGCACCTGTCAGAGCATTCCTGGGGAGTGATGGACCAGCAAGGGGCCCGGGGCCACTGGTACCGGGTGTAGGGGTGGGGTGAGGTGGGGCTCAGGGAGGAGGTGGCAGACATTTTCTTTGTCCTGCCTTGCAGCCCCCCAGGCTGGGGAATGTAGATCAGGAGGCAGGTATTCCCGGTCCTAAGGGGGTCCGGGCTGGGCCGGAGGAAGTGGATCGGGAGGAAGGCTGCCCGGAGGAAGGGGCATGGGAGCGGGGGCTTTGCGGGACATGTAAGTTTGCCCGATGGACAGAGAGGGGTAGGGTTTGCTTCTTGGACTAGTGTGGCTGGGACATAAAGGGGAAGGGAAGATATTGGGGTAAACCAGACGTAGGCTCAAAGGGGGGTCTTGGCAGGATTTGGTGTGTGTGTGGGGGGAGGATTTGGTGTGTGGGACATGCTGGGAGGACTCTTCAGGAGTCCACGGGCCAGGCAGAAGTGAGAGGCCCATGTCACCGCTGAGCCTTTTGGACCGGGGGAGAGGATGAGTTAGGGTTTTCCCAGTGGGGGAGGGCATCCCAGGGAAGGGACAGCCTGGGCAAAGGCCAGGCCGGACACTGGGTTCTGAGCCCAGCGTGTCATCCGGTGTGCCTGAGACGGAGTGGGCCCGGGGCCAGGCCCCGTGGGTCCTGGGGCAGCCAGCGCTGGCATCAGGTGTGTTCCTGAGCCGCTGGGAGTCCTGGGCCGTGTTCAAAGGGGCGGGGAGGGTATTGGGAAGCCCCTGGGGAGCCCAGCCCTCCCTGCCTACGGCAGTGCCTGCCTCATCAAAGCTGCTGTGGCTGTTGGCCCGGAGCCAGCTGGGTCACGGCGGGTGCGGGGAGGGTGCCTGCCCGCCAGCCCCTGGCACCATGCCCCTGCCCGTGCCAGCCCTGGGAACCGCACTGACTCAGCCGGAAGAGCCTTATCTGGCCCCTGTGCCGTCACCCAGCCACAGGGTCACTGCCATGGGGTCACCGCTGTGGCCTGGCCCCACGCCCACTGCCAGCTCTCCACCCTGGTGGCGCTGCCAAGTGCCCAGCCACGCCTCACGCTGTCTAATAACACACGCGGCCGCGGAGGGAGCGGTGCCTGCCAGGCAGCGAGGACCGGGCGCCCCACGGGGAATGAGCGTGGGTGAGCCACGTGGGCCTGCCTGCTGGCATGGGTGTGTGAGTGTGGGGCCGTGGAGGTGGGGATGGTTTCGTGGGCTGCGGTGGCCCGTCTTCCCAGGGCCCTGAGAGTGTCAGAGTCTGTGTTTGCCAGAGCGAGGGCCCCGGGGGCATTTGAACCCTCGTG